TGAAAAGGTGACCTTGAGTCAAGCCCTGAAGGAAAGGAGGCAGATATCTGGGAGAAGAACAGCCAAGGTAGAGGAAGCAACAAGTGCAAATGCCCTGGGGTGGGGACGTCTCCAGCCTGGAGATGGAGCTGAGAGGAGCCAGTGTGGCTGGCAGAGCAGGGGGGCGGGAGAACAGCTGGAGATGACTGAGAGGCAGGGGAGATGAAGCAGGGCCTGGTGTGTTGTGGTGGTTGTTGGTTTGTTGTGGTTTTTGAGAGGGGAGTGTGAGTACCAGGAGCTCAGTTTCCGAATGTAAAGCTGGAGACCGAGTGGGCGGTTGTGCGGGACGGACTAGGGCCAGGAGGGAAGTCTGAGCTGTCAAGCACCGTGTGGGACCTGAGCCCCATGGGAGAGGAGACGTGGGAGCAGCAGAAGTGGAGAAGGAGGAGCAGCCGGCCAGGGGGAGGGGGGCCCGGCCGGTGCAGCGGCAGCGGTGGGCATAAGGGAGCAGCCTGCCAGATGCTGCCGAGGGGGTGGTCGGGCGGCAGGAGGACCGAGAACGAGCCCGTGTTCAGTGACGTGGACGTCATGTGCAGTGGTCGCCTACAAGGTGGCCACCGTGATCGGAGACCATTTAGTGGGGTGGTGGGAGCAGGGGCCTGCCAGAAAGCACCAGAGAATGGGAGCCAAACTGGCAAAGTCATTTGAGGAATTTCACTGCAAAGGGCAAGAGAGAAATGAGCAGGGGCTGGAGATGGAAAAGTTGCTTTTCTTTTTTAAAAGATTTTATTTATTTGAGAAAGAGTGTGAGAGAGAGAGAGCAAGAGAGGGGGGGAGGGGCAGAAGGAGAAGCAGGCTCCCCACTGAGCTGGGAGCCACCACTGAGCTCAATCCCAGGACCTTGGGATCATGACCTGAGCCAAATGCAAAGGCTTAATCCACTGAGCCACCCAGGTGCCCCTGGAAGAATTGCTTTTTAAACAGCTTTATTGGGATATAATTCTTATCCCGTAAAATCCGTCCGCCCTTTTAAGTTTGCCATTCACTTTTGCTAGTGTATTCATAAGATTGTGCACCCATCCCACTATCTAATTGCAGGGGATTTTCACCAACCCAGAGAGAAACCCCACACCCATGAGAGCTCACTGCCCGTTCTCCCCTCTCCCAGCCCCTGACCACCACCCATCTGCCTTCAGTCTCTATTGGCTTGCCTCTTCTGATATTTCATGCAAGTGGAATCATGCAATATGTGGTCCTTTGTGACTGGCTTCTTCCACTTAGCACCTTTCCAAATTCCTCCATGTTGTAGCATGTATCCGTATATAATTCCTTTTTTTTTTTTTTTGCTGAATAATATCCCCTTGCATGTTATATACAATGTATAGACCACATCTTCTTTATCCATTCACCAGATGATGGACATCTAGATTGTGAACACTTTTTGGCTGTTACAAAACATGCTGCTAATGGACATTCATATACAAGGTTTTGTTTGGATATGTTTTCAGTTCTCTGAGGCATATACCTAGGACTGCAATTACTTGGTCTTATGGTAACTCTATGCTTAATATTTTGAGGAACTGCCACATTTTACATTCCCACAAGCAACATATAAGGGTTCCAACTTCTTCCTAACCTCATCAACACTTGTCATTGCCTTTTTTATTTTAGCCATCAGAGTAGGGGAGAGTGGTATCTCATTGTGGTTTTGATGACTAATGATGTTGATCACCTTCTCATGTGCTTATTGGCCATCTGAATACCATTTTTGGAGAAATATCTATGCAAATCCTTTGCCCATTTTTGAACTGGATTGTCTATTGTTGAGCTGTGAGAGTTCTTTATATATTCTGATACTAGTCCCTTATCAGATACCTGCTTTGTAATTTTCTCCCATTCTTCCTTTTTTTTTCACTTTCTTGATGGTGTCCTTCGAAGCACAAAAATTTTTAATCTTGAAGAAGTCCCATTTATCTATTTTTTTGGTCATTTGTGTTTTTATGTCATATCTAAGAAACATTGCTTCATACAAGGTCATAAAGAGTTATTCCCTGTTTTCATCTAAGTAATGATCTATTTTTTTAAGATTTTATTTATTTGACAGAGAGAGAGAGACAGAGAGAGAATACAAGTGGGGGGGGTGGGGGTGGGAGAGGGAGAAGCAGGCTCCCCACGGAGCAGGGAGCCTGATGCGGGGCTCCATCCCAGGACCCTGGGATCATGACCTGAGCCCAAGGCAGACGCTTAACGACTGAGCCACCCAGGCGCCCCAGGTTAAATTACATTATTAAATGAATTTCATCTGTTTCTTCTTTTTAAAAATGTGGTTATTAGAAAATCTAAAATTATATATGTGGCTGACATTTGTGGCTTGTTGAGATTCTGTTGGAGAGACCCTAGGGGGAGGACCCCACATCCAAAACAGCCCCCAGCATGGCAGGCCTTCCTGCCGCGACGTCTGTGCCGCCACCTGGGGATGAGCCTCCAAGTGCGTGTTATAGCAGGCCCATGCCTCAGAGGAGGTAGGGGCCCCGGGGCCGGCTCATGAGGACACAGCTTCGTGAGGACACAGCCTGGAGCCCAGTGCAGGCGTCCTTGGACAGTCCCTGGGAGGCAGCCCCAGGGAGCTGGGGACCAGGCTGGTTCTCGTTTGGCTTAGGCACAGGTAAATAATGCACATTTTTCAACACTGGACTCGCCTGAGGCACAAGATGCCCACACCTAGAGATTCTCGGCTGCCTGCACGGCTTCCTCTGAGCCATGATCTCGTTGCCCGGGAAGCCCGTAGGTCACCAGCACCTGTTACAACTGGTTTTTCTCTTTATTCCCCCCTCGCATGCACGTACGTGTGAGATTTCTGTACGGTAAATAATGTGTGTGGAGCAGTTCTACTGAATTTCATACACCCATCCCCGTTGGCTACTTATCGAAAGGGGCTATGATATTGCCCACAAAGGCAGTTTGACTCTGTCCCTGTTGCTCAGCACTGGGCTGGCTCCCTTCTCTTCTGCTGCCTTAAACAGCAGTGCTAGGAGTATCCTCATCTTCTTTCCATTTGAATTATTTTATTGTAATGTCTTCCCTGAAGTGAAAAGTGCTGGCTGCAAACTATATACAATCTTAGGGATCCTGTGACTTTTTTCTTCAAATCACCCTCCCAGCGCACGGTAACACCAGGTACGTTCTCCGAGGTCTGTGTGCGCGTGCGTGCTCGGTCTGTGCGCGCGTGCGTGCTCCGTCTGTTCGTGCGTGCGTGCTCCATGCGCACGCGCGTGCTGTCTTCCTATGCCCCTACCAGTTGTGGGTTTGAGCGTTTGTGTTTGTTTTTACCAATTAATTGTTAGGTAACAGATACTTCCTGGGTATTATCCTGGCATTTGCTTAATTGCAGATGAAAATGAGTAAAGTCCTTCCCTTAAAACTCACACAAATTAAAGAAACAGCCACCATCTCGATAGTTTAGAGAAACACTTTTCGGCTCCCTCTGCTAGCCAGCATTTGGGGTACTCACAGCCGCCCAAGGCTGCAAGTCAGCGGGCCGGGCCCAGGTTTCACCTCCTGACCCACTGTTATCACAATGGTCCAAGAAGCCATTTATCTCCTCCAACAAACAGAAAACACATCAGACGGTCCCTCTTCCCTGTGTGGTGTAGACAAATCCTGGCGTTTGTTTTTTTTTTTTTTTTAAGATTTTTATTTATTTGACAGAGAGAGCGAGAGAGCACAAGCAGGGGGAACAGTAGAGGGAGAGGGAGAAGCAGGCCTCCCACCAAGCAGGGAGCCCGATGTGGGGCTCGAACCCAGGACCCTGAGATCATAACCTGAGCCGAAGGCAGATGCTTAACCATCTGAGCCACCCAGGTGCTCCGAATCCTGGCATTTCTTAATTGCCATATTTTTATTGTTCAGGATTGAGACACATTCTGGTTTATCTGTAAAAAAGGTTGCAGGAGACATGGCTGATGTTCTGTTCATGGCTTATTAAAAGCTCAGGAAGGGGAGGGGGGTGGGGGGATGGGTTAGCCTGGTGATGGGTATTAAGGAGGGCACGTTCTGCGTGGAGCACTGGGTGTTATGCACAAACAATGAATCATGGAAAACTACATCACAAACTAATGATGTAATGTATGGTGATTAACATAACAATAAAAAATTTAAAGAAAAAAAAACCTCAGGAAGACCCCAGTCCCCGTCCCCTGGGGAACTCATAAAAGGACTTTCTGGTGGAGCCACATCCTGGCCTGGCAGGTGACCTAGGAAGGCAGGGAGGAAAAAGAGAGAGGATGCGCCTACTTGCCCACTAGATGGCACCTCTCAATAACTAATGGGGGGAGTATCGCTTCCTTCCAAACCTGGAGCCCCAGCCCTGACAAACCCAGCATTGCAACACACCCCAGTCATGTTTACTTACAAGCCAGACATCTGAAAAAAAAAAAACACAGAAAAATAAAAAAGTTCATTCTAGCTAAAAATACACCATCTGCCTGTGAAAAATCTTGCTTGGCGCTGTCATGTCAACACCCAAAGCAGGTTAATAACGGGCCCAGAACAGATGGTTTCTTTTTATAATTATTGGGTCTCCCCACCAACACTTCCTCCTCAGCTTGCCCCTTTGCCCTGCTGGCAGCCCCCTGCTGTTTCCTGGCCACCCCGCTGCCACTGCCCAGCCCGCCACCGCCCTGCCAGCCACAAGGGGCCCGCCCATAGCTAGCCCTCTGCTCAGGCCAGGGCCCCCTCACCCTCTGCTGGGAATCAGCCACAGGGGCCCGGGGGGCTTTCAACACCACCGGGGAAGATGACCACCAGGAGGTGACCCAGCCTTGTCACCCCCACTAGCAAAGAAAAACTAATCAACACAAGATGTCGGTAATCACCCATCAAATCAACAAAAGTTTAAGACACTATCATCCTATTTCTTGGTGAGGATGCAGTGAGATGTGTACCCCCAAACACTGTTGCAGGGAGAGTGATACCGATGCTTACTGTCTAGAAGGAATTTTGACTGAATATAAAACCTTAAAAAATATTGCATACTTTTTAATCCAGCAATTTCATTTTGAGGTATCTATCCAAAATACTATCTGTCATAGTCTAAAATATGAACAGAATGTTAACACAAAACTATTCATCGGGGCAATGAAAACCACACCAGGGATAAGGCTAAGTATGATTACACATATTTACACATATATACATATATATACACATATTTACAAGGAGTTTTAAATTAAACACAAATGTTAATGTTAATTGATAAAAGCATCAAAGAGGTCTAAACAGTAAGAATGGAAATATTTTGGAAATGTGCATACATAGCATTAAAAAAGGTTTGCAAGAAATGTATCAAATGTATTAAGAGTGATTTTCTGGGCAGTAAAATTTGTAGCGGTTTCATTATCCTTTGCTGGATTCTTCTAAGTTTTCATCCATCAACACTGACAAATAAAAGGAAGTGAATGGTTTTCAAAGACTATTTAAAAACTGACGTAAGGAATGCACAAGAAATTGGTACAGCGGCTGCCTCTGGGGAGGGGCCTGGGGCAGGAGTTGATGGTGGAGGAAGCCTTGCTTTTCCACTGTACTGTCTAGAGTCTTCTAAGTCTTCTAAGTACCAGGCTGGAATTATCTATTAAAAAAATAAATAAATGAAAATTTTTGCCAAGGAGACACAGAAATAAGAATCCTAAAATCACAGGAGCCGAGAGGAGAGCCTGAGGGAAAAGCCAGCAAAGTGCTTTCACCTCCTGGGGGAGACAGGATTTGAGGTCTGGGCTGCCCTCTCGGGCCCAATGCCCATCACAGTCACCCCAGGACCCAGCTTGTCCAGGCTGACTTCACTCAGCGAGGCCTGCTCCGTCTGACCGGACACTGGTCAGGAGCTGGGTCAGGGTTTTTCCCAGGAATAAAGGCAGGCAGGCCAGGGGAGGGCCTTCAGTGGACATCAGGGCAGGACCTCTGAGCTAGGATCCCATGTCCGTGAGTTCTCAAAGAAGGTGGTTGGGGAGGTGGGGGAAGCCTCACCCATTCATTGCTTGTGTGTTGGGCCCAACTGTCCCAGACCCAGGGGACACCGGGTCCTAGTTCAGAGAGCCTGCCCTGATGTCCACTGAAGTCCCTCCCCTGGCCTAAATCAGCACTGGTTCTAATTCATCCTGAAGTTTTCTTTTCACACACAGAGATGTCAGAATACCACTTCTCCTCAGCAGGAGTGCCTCCTTCCATAGCCCCAGGGCGGCCTGTGCTGTTTCCCCCTTAGAGAGAGCCCCAAGCTGCTGCCCTGGCCCAGGTCCTGGGGGCCTGCGGAGGCTCGGGCAGTGTGCGCATACTGGAAGCACAGAGGAGCCAAAACAGGAAAACCTGGACAGTCAGGTCTCAGGCACTGGAATTGGGAGGCATCTGTCATTCTTTAAAGCCACAAATCCAGAACCTTCCCTAATGACCCTGGGTGTTAGAGATGCTTTTACACAAAATGTGTGAGAAAAGCCCTGTTCAGAAAACATTTATTGCAATTTGATGACACCTAGTCAAGTAACGGTTCTGAAAGCAAAGTGAATACGGTATTAGGGGAAATTCAGGGTGGACACATTGCTTAGATCCTACCACGTCAGAAAAAGCAATACTCTTGGCTGGAAGTATTTAATTTTAAAAGCAAAACTCAAGAACTACCACGACTTGTCCGATGGGGAGAGAAGCCCCTGGGAGGGTGAGAGCCCAGGTGTGCTGCACAGAGAAGGGCTGGGGGCCTGGATGTTTGTGGCTTCACTCAACAGGCGACTGACCCTGTGTGGGGCCACTCAGAGTCACTGGTCAGGGAAGGGGCACATGAGGGAAAACGTGAATTCCAGCATGGGCCAGCTCTCAGGTCCTGAGACCCTGGGCCCCGGGGAAGGAACCAGTCCTGTAACGGGTGCTTCGGACAGGGCTCATCTTCACAGGTGAGGAGATGGAACACGAGGGCCTCCTGCTACGCTCCCATATGAGTGAGAGTGGATTCACCCATGTCTGGAGCAGGCAGGGCTTCGCTTTCTACCAGCCTCCCAGCGAAAGGGTTGTCACAAAACACAACATCTTCATAAATAATTTCCAGAACATGATACAGCATAGTAGTAGCCGCTCCAGCAGATTTCACTCCATTTAAGGTAACACACTGATGATGTGGGGCTTCCCCAACTCCCCTGTCCCCTCCTGTGAGTCCCGAGAATCATCTAAATGAGACCCGCACTTCCCAGGAGGAGCGACCTAGTCATCATACTGAACTTCGGCCCGGAGCTCCTTGGTGACGTAGTTCACCAGCATGGCCAGCAGCTGCTGCTTCAGGGCCTCGCTGCCCATGACCAGCGTGGTCAGCTGCACGACGTCCATCCAGTCCAGGTGCCTGAGGATGGCGGTGGCTTCATTAAAGAGCTTTTGCTGCTCAGCGGGTGGCAGCTCCATTATGATCTGAGGAATCGGCTTAAATTGTCCGCTTGTCATCCACGCACCTAGTAGACCCCCGACAGCCCCCCCTAGAAAACAAGGAAGGTTCAATTAGTTGGTTCAATCAGTGCTCTTACTGAGAGCACGTCGGCTGCCATGACGAGTGGGCACATTCACGCGGGGGCCAGAACAGGCTCACCTTCGTGCCCGCTCCACCGCACGGTGGGGGGGAAAAGGGTTTATGGGATCTTCGGTCCATTTGGCTCAGATAACTGACACCCCAAAGTGCCCTTCCCCAAGCTGTGCACTCACAGATGCAGCACGAAGCATCTCCCACCTCACAGCTCTGCTAACAATAATCTTCTCCAGGGCCTGCAGGTTTCCTGCTTCCCACAAAACTCTCTCTCATCGTAAAGGAGACAGCTGAGAAGCAAGTGCTTTTTCAAGGAGAATCATCTCAGTGCTGAGGCTGAGTTTTCTCCATAATATGCCCTTTGCCCCTGAACTTAGGAAATTTCCAGGGAAATCCCATGGTTAAAGGACCCTGGGGACAGAGAAGGAGACCTTTACTCTGGAAGCAACTGTTTTTCATGCCAGCCCGCCAGAGTTGTATGATGATAACTATCAAATATAACTTATTCAACTATTTCTCTTCCCGTGACCCCAAAAGGGCATAACCATTATTTTTTATAAGATTTTTTTTAAGTTTTATTTATTTATTCATGAGAGTCAGAGAGAGACAGAGAGAGAGAGAGAGAGAGGCAGAGGCAGAGGAAGAAGCAGGCTTCCCACCTAGCAGGGAGCCCGATGCGGGACTCGATCCCAGGACCCTGGGATCATGACCTGAGCCGAAGGCAGAGGCTTAACCATCTGAGCCACCCAGGCGCCCCATAACCATTATTTTTAAGTATAAATTTATGATCAGATCTAAGGTTCATGATATTGGGACTAAAAGCCCTTATGTCAAGGGAAAGTTCTATCTGATCAGGTGGGATGCAGGTCTGCTACAGGAAGGTGCCTTGGGGCAGGGGTCTCAAACGCAGGTGCCAGGCAGGTAGCTGAGAGGAATGAATAGGGCTGAGTGAGCCTGTGGGTGACGGAGAGCTGCGTCCCTGCCTAAGGGGCGGTGGCTACCCCTTGCCAGCCCATTGCTACCACACAGAATGCCAGATGTGTATCCTGAAAAAGTCCCATGATTTTTAAATATTGATGATCAGATATTAATAGATGCAGCCCAGCTTGACATAGTGACTCTCTCTGAAAGAGCAGAGTGTGGAAAGGAGAGACACTAACTTCACAGTGGACAAACCTGGCAAATACCACCTTAACCAGATGATCAAGGTGGACATCGCCAGCGAGGCCTGTGGATGTCACATGTCCTTGAAATGGAGCTATGAGACAGGCGCTCCACCTCCGTCAGCAGTATGCTTTCCAAAGGTCCATAACTCCGGGCTAAGCAAGAGAAAGCCCTCAGGCCGACCCAAACAGGGAGGCATTCTACAAATACCTGCCCAGTACTCCTCAAAACTACCCAGGCCATGAAAGCAGCAAAGTCTGAGGAACTGTCACAGACCTGGGGAGACTAAGGAGACATGAGGATTAAATGCACTGTGAAATCTTGAGGTGGATTCTGGGACAGGAAAAGAACTTGATGCAAAAACTGGCAAATAAAGTCTGGAGAGCAGTTAATAGTGATACATCAGTGTTGGTTTCTTACTTTTGCCAAGTACACCATGCTAACACAAGATGGTAATGTTCTGGGGGGGGGGGAACGGAAGCTGGTATGGGATATGTGGGAGTTCTCTGCACGGTCTTGCCAACTTGTCTGTAATTCTACTACTATTCCAAAATAAAAGGTTTATCCAAGAGAATACAACCCAGGCCAGAGAGAACCCGGTTGTGGGCTGGACCCCGCCAACAGGCAGTAAAACCTGCAACCCTCTCAGGAAGCCAAATGTGGAGGCATCTGGAAGCACACAGCTCTCCTGGGGCTGAGCCCCGGCCAGCATCGGGCCCTGGAGGCTGAACACTGCCCCTGGACAGCCCTCCTCTCTGCTCCAAAAGAAGGGAGGATTCGGGGAGGGAAAACCAGTCATTTACAAGTTTTACTGAACTTCTCCCCATGACACCCGAAAAGCGCTTAGAACCGACAAGAGTTGCACTCATCTGCACTAAAACTTTATGAGAACATCAATATTTGATTTAGAGCAGCACTTAATGCAAAAAGTCACCAGGAATATCGACCAGCAAATTACTAACTCTTTGGACAAGGGGAAATTCCTTGGTTTTCTGGGTAAAATGATGCTCCCACCCACGAGGGGCTGCAAGTAGCGAATCCCCCGGGTTCTCCTGGCAGACATCCTGTTCTCTACCAGCTTTGACATAATCTGAATAAGATATATGCTCCCACCATGGCACCTGGGAATAGCCACATGATAAAATGATCCCAGCAAGCCCTCCCCTGAGCACATTAGATGGGGGCGGGGGGCAAAGATACAGAATGTCACTGAGGAAGGAGGCAATGGCCGTGTTTCCTCCCTCACTGGCTGCTTCTTGGATGGTGAGAAGCTGAAGTCAGGACTCACTAATTCACAGGCTGGAAAGAGAAATGTACGGGTGGAAGGTCTGGGGCCACGCACACTCTGATTTACTCCCCAGTGTGATCTCAGCGTCATGAAATGTCCCTGAATGCCAACCCTGCCACAGAAAGGCAGAACAGGGCAGGAAGCCATGCTGGGAGCCGGAAACAGAAGCCAACCTGGACAGACAGCAGTCATCTCTCCAGCCTGTATTCATGGGAGGACTGCAGGCCGAACTGTGAGCTCTCCCACGTCCCCAGCACAGGCTGCCCAGCACAGAACAGGCATTCAGCAATGCGTCTGCTGAGCCCACCACGGCAGCCCAGGCCTTTGCCGCTCCCATGTTGCAGGGTCCATCTGAGGCACCTCACGGAGGCGTAATCCAAGCTCCCTTCAAGTCAGGCCCACACAGCAGCCAGCTCTCTGATGCCACCCTGGCCCACGGTTCAGGCCACGCGGGAATCCTTCCTGCTTCTAATAAGCCCAAGGAAGCAACCCCATCCTAGCTCCAAGGAATGATGGGAAAAATCGGCCAAAACTCCATTCATTGCCAGAAACTGGCTCTCAAGGAGAAGCAGGTGGGAAAAGCGGGGGTCGGGGCGGGCAGGGATGACCCCTCTAGGATATTTGTTGCATTAGACTGTTTGCTGTCAGAATGGGGAGTCTCTCTGAATGAGCTCATGTACAATGGCCAGATGGCATCTGCTCTTAGGAGGTGCTCAGCAAATACAGCTTCCTCCCTGGTTCCCTTCCGCAGGGACACGTAATGGGGGCGGGGCAAGGAGACCATCCAAGGGACCCAGGATACCCTGATATCTTCAGACGCTAAGACACATCCCTGAGGGGAGAGGCACCCTCCAGGGCTGCTGACACAGATGCCATTTGCAAGAATGCCCTGCATTTCTGAGACCTTCACACTCCGAAGCCTGTGTTTTCAACAGGATGAATTAGGGACACAAAGATCCAGTCACAGAAGCAATCTCAATTCAACAAACGTCTCCCACATGACAGAGATTTTTATGAGGTCTCTGTGGTTTCAAAGGCCTTTTTTACAACACCCCCAAGGCTGGCTGCCCCTGTGAGGCGCTTGACTTACCAACAGCTAGTCCGGGTGGGCCTCCGACCAGACCACCCATGAAGGCTACAGCCCCTGTGACCAGGGCGCCCTTCCCAGAGTGCTTGACGGCCGCCTTCATTTTCCTCTCCCCAGAGATGGAGCACAACAGCTTCATGATGTCTTCCACCACGATGGGCATCTTGGCAAGCCTCAAAGGAAGCATTTCAAAGGGAGAGTTTTAAGGAGCGTCAGAGCATCTGCACACAAATGTTACTCTTGCTAGAGTTTCAAGGACGAGTCCTCATGTAAAGCACAGGAGCTCTGCCGTAGCCAGAACCGGCACCCAGCCGTGTGAGAGGTTCCTTGTCACAGACGAAGCCAGGTAGCATTTAGCTAATAAGCAAACAGAATCAGCAGAATGGATGAAAGGTCTTCCTTACCCTCTGCTTAACTTCTGATTTACGACAGATTATGGAGCAAGCCCAGCCGCAAGCTGCAGTGGTTCATCACAAGTGAGGAAAGCGTGCCCTCTCTTGCATCCGTGGCCTTCCTGCTGTCTCAGGCATCCCCAGGGCACAGAGCCTGGCGGAGGGCAGAAAGTCCCAGCCTCCAGTCCTCTGTCGTGTGACAGGGCAACGGAGCTCCGGCCAAGCCAGAGAAGGGGAAAGTACTGGACTCTGTGACCACCCTGGCCTTGTGCCCACACCCGCCGGCCCTGGGACCCTGAGCAGAGCGTCAGATTCCTCACCAGTAAAAGGGATATAAGCCACCTACAAGCTGGATTCTGGAAAAGTCTGAGTAGAATGGATGCAGAGGTACCTGGTGAGTCTGGAACACTGCGGCCCTCAGACATGATGGCTCTAAATGAATATTCTGTTACTGAGACACACCACTGGCTTTTCTACAAAGCAACCACTCCTAAGGCCCATCCAGTTCTGCATGGGGGGTATTAAAGGCAGGGACGGGACGACCAGTAAGATGAAACGACCAGAGAATGAAATAAACCAAAGAATTCCAGGGGTTTGCATATGTTTGGAGAGACAGACAAATGGACTTTTGGAATAATGACCTTGGAACAGTTCTCTGCAGTCAGGAAACTGTTTGCCACACTGGTGGGAAACTGGCAGGTAGGCAGGGCAAGGGGAGGGTGGGCTCTGCCCCAGGGTCTGTGGGAATGGGGACCCACAACACTGACAGGCCACCTGGCCGGGCCCAGAAGTAAAATCAAAGTGGCCACGAGCCGGTGCTTCTCCTTCTGGCTTCAGCTGGACCCAAAGCTCAAAGGGCACTTCCTTTCCATCACTCCCCTTTTTATGCAAGCAGTACTTTTGGGAACTTGACAAAGTTTGGGGCACACCCTATTGCTCAATAACTCTTGGTTACATCTCTTTTTTGACCCAAGGTTAATCCAGAACCAGCCTCTCATGTAAAATCCTCCTCCCAGTCCTGGGAGAGAATTTTGAGCCCCTAGAATGAGTCTGTGGGTCTGCTGGATCACCACAGTCAGGGTTCAGAACTTCTCTGCCATGCCAGGAGAGGTAAGAAGTGTCCTGTGCTCTGGCCCCTGCAATGTTCTGAGCTCAGCAATTCTCCACAAGCGCATAGAATCACTGCCGACTTTGTTAAATGCAGCCAGTATGCATGGGCTGAGATTCTGCATTGGGAACAAGCCTCCAGCTGGTCTCTAAGCCCACTTTGGACAGCAAGACTCTAAGAGAGCATGACCCAGACATTTGACATCGGCTACTTAGTCCTCGAGTTCAGAAAGGGCAAACAAGCACCCCAAATGTGTCTGTTTGACCAAGTGGGGTGTAGAGGCAGCAGAGGGGCAAGGCAGGGGTGCTCAAGGGACTGGTGAAGAACTCAGGTGTGCCTGCCCCTGCTCTGGCTCCATGTGTCCTGGACCTGCCAATACACCTCTGGATTCCTGCCCCTTTGCTCACTACCGGCAACCCCTTGTAGACGGAGTCCATGCCGCCTCCTCTACCGCGGATGAGAGCCCACCTGAGGGTCATGACTTGTCCACACACACAGGTCACAATAATAAAACAGCATTAGAACAGCAAAGGAACTGTACATGGCAGAAGTCACTGAGAAACGAGGGGATGGAGGATGTGACTTGATTCACAGCCACGGTTCTGTGAAGCTATGTAAACAAAATGAGTTTTATTTCAAAAACTAATTTATTTCAAATACTGATAACCAAAGGAATTAATATCATGGTAAAACCTTAGCTCAAAAACCTAACATTTCTCCTGTAAAACATCTAATCGTTGCATAGTTTATATCTGGTTTATATCCAGCTTTCTATCTGTCAGTTATGCTGGGAAAAAGGGGCACGAAGCTCGGTCCTGGGAAGGCCCCTCTGGAGGCTGCAGTGAGCTTCCCATTTCCAGGCACGTGAAGACCCCAAGCATGGTCTGCAAGGCTGGCTTCCTGGCCGGGGCACTCTGCCCAGACACCACTCCTAAATAGGGTTTCTGCAGGATTATGGACCCGCACACTGGAAACACTTTCTGCACAGCAAGAAAATGCATGGAAAGGAGGCAGGAATCAGCCACTTCATACTAGAGTATCCATCAAAAACCTAGCTTCCCATTTGCTCTGAATGACTTCTTATAAACCCACAGGGGCTAATAAGGCATCGTCGTGCAAAGGCTACTCCCAACCTCCACTCAGCCCAGGCAGACCAGCACAAGGCAGGAGCCCAGGGCTCTGTCCACCTGGAGGGCCAGCAGGTGTCCCGGTGTGTGGGAGGGCAGGGGAGGACGTGGCCCATCACTGGCGGGGTTCAGCAGCTCCACACCACAGGAAGAGGTAACACTGTGGCTGCCTCAATCCAAGACAAAGCTGGTTTAATTTCCCTGTGAGAATGATTTTAGACGTTAGAGCATCAATAGACTTGTGGAAGGAAGGTTTGTCACCCCATCTCCTGACTCCCTGCTAAAAAGCCCAGCCTTCTGACTTCTCTGGGCTTGCGGGATTGAGGAAGGAAGCCAGTCCTGTGTCTCCACCCCTCCCCCTACCCCCCCCCCCCCCCCCCCCCCCCCCCCCCCCCCC